TGGGCAATAGAAATGAACAGAAACTTTTCAAAAGAAGACAGAATAATGGCCAGCAAACATATTAAAAAAATGCTCAACATCTCTAATTAGAGAAATGCAAATCTAAAACCACAGTGAGATTATCACCTAACCCTGGTGAGATTGGCTTCTATCAAAATATCCGTAAACAACAAATGCTGGCGAGGATGTGGAGAGATAGGAACACTCTTACACTGCTGGTGGGACTGCAAATTAGTACAACCTCTGTGGAAAACAATTTGGAGATACCTCAAAGAGCTAAAAATAGAAATACCATTTGATCCAGCAATAGCATTATTAGGCATCTACCCAAAAGAGCAAAAGACACTCTGTAATACAGACATCTGCACCTGAATGTTTATGGAAGCACAATTCACTATTGGAAAGATGTGGAAACAACCCAAGTGCCCATCAATTCATGAGTGGATTATTAACATTTGGTATATGTATAAAATGGAATATTACTCAATTACAAGAAACGACAGTGATCTAGCATCTCTTATGTTTTCCTGGGTAGAACTTGAGCTCATTATCTGAAGTGAGGTATCACAAGATCTGTAGAATGGGCTCCACGTGTACTCGCCATCAAATTGGCACTGACTGATCAACACTATGGTGCTCACATGGTAGTAATATACTCCAGGGATCAGGGGGTTGGGGGGGTAAACTCACAACTAATAGATGCAGTGAGCATTGTAGAGGGGAAGGGCATGGTATAATCCTCGCTTGGGTGAGGCAAAGACATAAATTGTAACCAAAATGTTTGTACCCTCATAATATCCTTAAATAATAATAAAAAAACTTAAGAGCACTATATAAAAAACTTTTGCATAAAATAAAAATAAATCAATGATATTAAAAATTATCATACTACTCAGTGTTTCCATTTTGATACCTCTAAGTTTTTTAGTTTGAGATTGGCTTTTTGACAATGCAACTTTATTATCAGGTAAAATATTTTCATCTAATACCTCTTCCACTTTCTGATCTATAAGAAAGATGCTTTTAATCCATTAAAGAAATGAATTTATTGAAAAATCTCTGTAGAACCATACATGCCAATTATCCAGAAATATTTCCTCTCATGTTTTAATAATTGTAATTAAATGCCACATTGATGAGACAATGAATTGGAGACTGAGTATGTGTAGTGTATAAATGTGGGAGTATTTTTCAAGAGAATAGTTCTCTAAGGTATTCACATTTTGTAATTAAGTCAAATATTTTTTACAAAAGATATGGATAAGAAAGTGATAAATAAAACATTAAAAATAAATTTTGATATTCAAAAACAGGTCAGGAAAGAAAGACAGAAAACATAAGTGATGGCATATTAGCCTGAAAAATATTAGTACTTAAAATTAAGTTTAAATGCATTAAGTGTTATATTTAAAAATGCAAGGAGTCCCAAATTGGATTTAAAAATAACCAACTATAATATATTTTATTTTAAAGATATACAGCTAAGTAATAAAACAAAAAGGTTACAAGTAAAATTATGCAAACATTATGTAAATACTCATGTAAAGAAAAAGATGTTATGTTAATATCTAACAAAATAGACTAAAGGGAAAAAAAATTACTACCAAATGTGTCATAAAGAGTTTTAGTGCTCTAAAAATACATAATTACTTCTGTCAAGCATGGTGGTTCATACTTGTTATCCCAGCAGTTTGAGAGGCTGAGGCAGGAAGATTGCTTGAGGTCAGAAATTCAATACCAACCCAGGGAACACAGTGAGATCCTGCCCCTACAAAAAAATTTTAAAAGTTTTCTGGGTATGATGATGCATGCCTGTATCCCTAATTACTCAGGAGGCTGAGGTGGTAGGATCACTTGAGCTCAGGAGTTCGAGGTTATAGTGAGACCACTGGGCCACTGCGCTCCAGTCTGGGTGACAGAGCAAGACCCTGTCTCAAAAAACAAACACAAAAATATGTAATAATTTTAAATCTATAGGTATGTAATTAAAATCTTTAAAAACATAAAATGAAAAATGATATAACTACAAAGAGTTACAGAGAAATAAGTAATCACAGTAGAATTTAAAATACCTTTCTCACAAATGATAGAATAAATAGAGAACCTCAATGAAGTTAAGAACACATTAACAATATGAACAACCTAATGGAGAAAATACATACATACAAATACACATAAACACAAACACATGTGCTGTATGTATATATATATATGTATACATAATATATATTAAAATCACATTCATAATTGATTGAATATATATTCATGAACTGAGAGAAATTTAATTAAAAATCATTACATAGTATTCTTAATTATTATACTTACTACTAAGCCCCATTTTTCTGACAGTACCAAGTTTCTTAATTTGAGATGGGTTTTGGGGGGGGCTTTGTTTTTACACTTGATCTTAGCCAAAAGGCCAAAAAGCGATAGGGGGCTTTGTTTTTGATTTTTTGTTTTGAGACAGAGTCTCATTCTGTCGGCCCTAGGTAGGGTGCAGTGGGATCATCGTAGCTCACTGCAATCTCAAATTCCTGGGCTCAAGTGATCCTCCTGCCTCAGTCTCCAAATAGTTGGGATCATGGGTATGTGTAACCACATCTGGCTAATGTTTTCTATTTTTGGTAGAGATGGAATCTTGTTCTTTCTCAGGCTGGTCTTGAACGCCTGAGCTCAAGTGACCCTCCCACCTCAGCCTCCCAGAGTGCTAAGATTACAGACGTGAGCCACTGCACCTAACCGAGATTGGATTTTTGAGATTAAAACTTTATCTCCACATGAAAGATTTCATCTGATATTTCATACATTTCTAAGCTATAAGAAGAGAGGCTTTTAATCCAATAAAAAGTGAAACAACTTTATTGTGAAGCCTCTGGATAATTAATGTACACAAAAACCACTCAAAATTCCCTGTCAGTTCTATAAAAATTTAAGCTAATCAATACAATTTAAGTAAATGACACACAAAAAACTTCTGATGCATTTTCAAAATGGACCATGAAGGTAAGTGTAAAAATCATCATAGTACTTTTCCTGAAAGTATGTGGAGGCCCTCTTGTTACTTCATACATACACTTAGAATGAAGATTATTATTCTTTAATGAAGATTATAATTCTGTAATTGAAAGATTATTATTTAGTTGAAATTAGACTTTACTGTACTAAGGGTATTTACATTAAAAAAACTTCTTATTTAATTGATTGAAAAACTAAACTGATTTTAAAAATAATAATTCCAAAATAAGGAAAGAAAAGAAATTTTTAAAAGCCTAGATCAGATAAAAAAATAAAAAACATCCCAAAATCAAATATTTAAATCCAATTACATCAATAAGTATAATTGTAAATGGGTTATGTATTCTAGGAACAAAGATAGTCACATTGCATTTATAAATAATTTATTTATATAAGAAATTATAAGAATACAGAAAGATGCAAATAGGTAAAAAAAAGATACCATGCAAATACTAACCAAAATAACTCTGCTATAGTTATGTCAATGTCAGACAAAATAGACTTTTAGTCAAAAGACCTTACTGAAGATTAAGATGGTACCTTTTATAAAAAGAAAACATTGAGTCATAAGGAAAATCTAACTTTTTATTTTTAAACACCTAATAACATAGACAGTATAAGGAAAATGGACAGAAATACAAGAAGAAATAGGTAATTCCACAATCATAGAACAATTCAATATATATCTCTCAATAATTGATAGAACAATCAAAATTCAAGGAAATCAAGAAACGAGAAATATAAATGACATAATAAAAAATTGACTTAATGGATGTCTGTAAAGCTATAACAGGATACATATTCATGAACTAAATTCTGCTTAATCAAAATTCAATTAATGTAATTTACATAATTTGATAATATTCATTATTATATTTACTATTGAATCTTTTCTTCCTAGCAGCTCCAGTTGTAGGCAGAAATTTTCATCTGATACCTCATCTTTTTCTGGATTACAGAAAGAAAGGCTCTTAAAAGCACTAGAGAACCAAATTCTGTGGTGGAACCTCTAGATTTACTAAGTATGTTAATTACTCAACAGTATTTTATCTTATTTATTAGTGATACAAGCCAATCATCATCTAGTTAAAATATAAATATCATATACATATATTTTTCACTTGTGCATATAAAAGCAGTCTTGTAACTTTTAGATACACAGAGGCATTGAATATATTTAATTTACAAGTAACAAAATTACTTTATTTCTTTATTATAAATATTATTATAAATACTTCTATATTTAAAATTATTCTTTAGTTTCCTTATTGAATTTGTACTTAAGAATAAAGTTTAAAATTTTTGATGTTAAATACGGCTAAGGAAAAATGTATAATGAGGAAAAATAAGGAAAGCCGAAAGAGAAATATATCCAGTAGAAAAAATAGGTGTAGCGAAGGAAATGGTGTAATTACACCTAAAATATCAATAATTAGGTTTATATGATTATGAGAAATAATTAAAGAAAAACATCAGACTAAATTTAAGAGTTTATATAAGTTTCTTACAAGACAAATAGTAAAATAATAAACAAATAGGAAAATTAAAATAATAGGATAATAAATGTTTCATGCAAATACCAACCAGAAGAAGCCATATTAATAGCCAATAAGGAGGTTATTAAGGGAAATAAATAAAGACTCCAAAAAATGACAAAGTAGGTCTCTTCATTAGGATAAAATGCTCTGCCCTTGAAAAATATAAATTTTAAGTTTATATTGCCATAAATAAGAAAGCATTGTAAGACATAAACCAAAAACTGACAAAAATACAAGAAAAAACAGGAAAACTCACAAAGTGGGTGATTTTTAACACAAGTAACTCTCAATGATTATAAAAGTAACAGATAAATCATCAAGAAATATCTAAAAGTATTATGGAAATAATTAACAATAGAAGCATATGGTTGAAGACAAATTCATAAACCAAAACCAAAGTTTTCCAGAATTTAGTAAAATATAATTTTTAAGATTATCATTACTTACTATTGACACTCTCATTTCTAATAGCTCGAATTTTGTTAGTCTGAGATTGGCTTCTTGATAATAAAACTTTCTCCTCAGGTAATAGATGTTGAAGTGATACATTCTTTTGGGGTGTTTCTAAAGGAAATGCTAAATAGAAAAAACAGATGTGCAATGGAACTTCTGTATATGTCAAGTAATCAGCAAACTTTCTACCCACAGAAGTGAAATGAAAAAAATCATGTGAATGGTTTTCATGAGGGTGTGTGAAGATAGTGTTTTTACTTAGCAATTATTGACTATGCAAATACCGAACAAAAGGTATCAATACTTTTGATTTTGTTCTCTAGTTATATTATTCTATTCACACTTTAGGTCAAAGTAAAATTTCCATAAAATATGTGCTCAAGTACACATTTATAAATCAAAGAAAAAGATCTTATGAGTTTAACTTAAAGTTTTCTATAATTAGTATACTTACTATTACGCCTTCCTTCTCCAGAAATTATTTGTTTCTCTTCTATCACTTGGAGTTTTGATGTTGAATCATAATGCACAAACATAAGATTTTCATCTGGTACTACAAAATGAGCTACATAAAGAGATGCATTTAGTCCACTGAAATAAAAATAATCTGTGAAATCTTCAGATTTAAAATTAATAACAAGTATATGGCAGCATTTTCTCTCATTTTTATAAACTTATAATCAAATCAGCATAATGTTAGATCTGACATCAAGATGGTAAAAATAGTTGTAATGGCTGTTGTGGAAGTTAAGTCATTATTTCATAAATATTCTGAGGAATCAAATATATTTTATATTAGACTACATGATTTATGGGTAATAAACTGTGGGTTAATTAGACTATATATACATGATATATAATAATTTATACATTAGGTTAATACATAACCATAGACCAAACAGTAAAAATGCGTAAGTACAAGGTCATTCATTACACTATTATTTGTAATTGCAAAATATTCAACACCATCAAAATTTTCAAGCATAGGAGATTGGTTGAATGAACTGATATGTGTACCATAAACAATAGTATAGCATCAGTTATGGTATAAAATGATGTGTATATGTGTGTGTATGTGTATGAATGTGTACACATGAACACATATATAGCATATAGGTATATGACACAGTATGAAGAACTCTATAGATAGTGAAATGTTCCCCTCCCATCTGTGCTAATATATCCTACCCTTCCTTGCCCAATGTCATTTCATGGGAAAACTGAAACATTGACCTAGAGTCAGTGACCTTTTGTGCTCAGACTCTTGTTGTCACAGTAAGTGCTTAAAGGCTTAATTGCTACTTTCAATTTGTCTTAATTGTGCTCATTGTCTTAACTGACCACCTTCACACCTGGCAGCTTTCTTGGTGATCAATGGCTGTGAGCAGGGTGGTCAATTAAGCACAATGCCCTTCTGGAAAAGCAGAAAGCACGAAGATCCCCGGGACATTGTGCGAGATGCTGAAGTTCATGGGGCCTCTTGGGGATACTAGAAGAGCATCTGCGGAAGTCTGAGGGTCCCATGGGCCACTTTGCTGGTCATATCAACGGGTCCCCAGAAGTGCTGGCCAACACCAGGGGGCACTCCTGCAGAGCACTAGCAGATTATTTACATAAGATTTTTGGCTCTGAGAGATATCAATGGTCCTTCTCTTTAGCCCCAGACTCCCTGGCCAAGACACCTGGTGGGTCAAATTAGAGATCCAACAGAGGAACTCTGAAAAAGGTATGAAGCAAATCCTTGGTTGCTGCTATTGTCCTCTGCTGATGGGACTTAAAGTTTTCAGAGATCCTGTGAGCTAAGTTGCGCCCAATGACTGCTGTTAGTTCTAAACCAATACCAGGTGATGACAGACAGCCTACTACTCAGCAAAGTATGGAGACTCGTGGCTTTATTAAAAGAAATTTAAAAAAATATGGAACTAAAAGCCTTCTGAGATCACTGCACCTTAACAGCAAACCAAAGGCACCTTAGAGACTTGGGTAGTTTGCCTCCAGGACATAGGATATATTCTTGTTAAACGTAGTGGTACTTTATAGGGTGTGTCACTGTAGTACTTCTCCTTCAGAGTGTCATGACACAGAAGCTTTGCTTAAGGAGGAGAAAGAAAAGAGGTATGAGGTACAAACTTAAAGGCCCTCTCATTCCATTCCTCACCTCAGTATTATTTGGGCTCTGACAGCTTTGGCCCACCCGTGATGAACCCACCACTCTTATTTGGACCACTCTTGCAGAAGCAGCCCTGTGAACTGTGCCGGTGGTCTCTTGGTTCTACAATGATGTATAACAACAGTTGATGACATGGTTAATTAGACCATGATTTCTAGGTTCAGATTTCTAGGTTCATTCATGCCATTCCTGCTGGTTTTCCAGCTCAATCAAACTTACTCATAAGGTCATGTCATATGTTCTGTAGCAAATCTGAAATTTAACTGGCAAATTTTCAGGCATAGAAAAAGCAGCTGCTACCTAGGTAGTGAAGACTGATCATCAGGAAAAGTGATGTAAAACGGTAATCATGTGCTCTTCTCCTGAATGATGCTTCTAGAAATGATCTCTGGGCCCGGTTACTCAACAATGGTTTATAAAAGAAGAGGTTGGTGGGCTCTCCCACAGATGTACATATGGGCAAGTAGTTGGCCATGGGTGCCCCCAAAGCCAGGCCAGCTAGAGTCTGCAGATTGGGGATCTTGTCATTCATAAAGTGTTGTATCCTCTGCACCTGTGTGAATTTGGAGGTAAATTGGTGAGTGGCTCCAATTTTTACTGAGGCTTCTTAGCTTTCAACAGTGAATAAAATCAAGGGTCAAGCCAGGTCCCGAATTCCCCAGTGGGGGGTGGGACCAGGATCAGAGTTCAATGAGGAGCTGAAGAAAATTATTTTCCTTGGGCTTTTTGAATACTGGTGTAGAGGTGAATGTGATCCTAACTCCAGCATAAGAATTAGAGGGAAGCAGACAATGCTCTCTAGTTTGAAGTCACCACCAATGGGACCCTTATCTAGACTCAACTATGAGTGAGTCCTCTTGGCCAACTGCAGGCTCCATCTATGACACACTGCTGGAATGTATTATAATATAGATGTATTGTTCTGTTCACCTTTGCCCACAAGATCTAAAGAAAATTGTTCAGTTAGGGCCATTTTAGAGGGGCATGTGAATGACCATGAACCCACCTTACTGTCAGTCTCTATGGTTTTTGTCTCTCAGAAACAATACTAACTGCCTGGGGTGAAAAGGGATTGAACTGCATTCATTTCTGAGCTTAAGGATGACAAAGTTCTTCATGAGACTAATTCTCCATTAAATAGCTCCATCTGGCCTGTGCAGCCTCATGTACATACATGTTGAATGGATTATTGGAAGCTCAACCCCATAGTGCTGCCCTGGGTTCTGGCAGGACCTGACTTTGTGACTGTCATAGAGGATATTGCTCAAGATAAAAAACCTACACACAACAACTGATACACAAAACTCCCTTTACAGCATCCCTATCCATACAGATGATCAGGATCAGTTTACTCTTATATGGACTGGGTTGTAATATACCACTAATGAACTTCTACAAGGTACCTAAATTCCCCAACTACTTATCATCAATGGATAGGTATAACTTGGAAAAATTTCTGCTTCTGGAGGGAACACTAGCCCCGAACTATATTGAAGACATTTTCCTGGTGGGCTCAGTCAAAATATTACCAAATAAGGACTGGCTGCTCTATAGACCCCTGTGGGGTAACATGGCTGAGCCATTAACACAGACAAGGTACAAGAACTAGCACTCAAGTTGAATTCCTAGGCATGATCTGGGAAGAGGCACAATGTCTCATTCCAAAGGAGATGACTTTCAATCTTTTGTTCCTCTCAACCCCCGCAAAGTAAAAAGAAAGCCCAGCCATCGGTGGGGATTTTTTGCTACTGGCACTTTAGTATTCCCCATAAGGCAAATTTAATGAAACCCATCTTACACGTTACCAAGAAGAGACTTCACCTTTATGTGGAGCCCAACTGACAAAATTCCCTGGGGATGACTGACAAGTCTCCAGAGCTACCCTTCTCCGTGGCCCCTATAATTCCCATTTGCTGATTAAGGATTTCAACAACCTCTCAGTTTGTTCACTGTAGCAGAAAAACACTGCTACAGTCCATAAATTACCAGAATTTACCATAAACTCCTGGAAACTGTAATCCCCTAGACTCAGCTGAGAGGTACATACACTTTGAGATACCATAGGCCAACTAGTGAACCTTAGTGGATACTGAGAGTGTGTCCAATGGCTGTGAAATAATCTTACAACTAGAAATTCCAACCAGGAGTTATCAACACTGCCACTTTTGTTCTCTGCTTATCTTAAGGTATTCATACTTTAGGTCAAAGTAGACAATTTTTTTGTTTGTTACTGGAGACAGAGTCTCACACTGTCACCCAGGCTAGAGAGCAGTGGCACAGAAACCTCAAACTCTGGTGCTCAAGCAATCTTCTTGCCTCAGCCTCCTGAGTAGCTGGGACTACAGGTGGGTGCCACCATGACCAGCTAATTTTTTTATATTTTTATTTTGCAGAGATGAGGTCTCTCTATGTTACTTGGGTTGGTCTCAAACTCCTGGGCTCAAGTGATCCTACTTCCTCAGCCCCTCAAAGTGTTAGGAGTAAAAGCGTGAGCCATTGCGCCTGGCTGAAAGTATACAATTTTCACAAAATATATGCTCAAATAAACATTCATAAATCAAAGAAAAAGATCTTCTGGTGAGTTTAATTTAAAATAATTTAAAGGTATCTATAATTATTATACTCACTATTACGCCTTAACTGTTCAGAAGTTTTTTGTTTCTTTTCTTGCATTTGGAGTTTTGACACTGAGACTTGATGCACAAGCATAAGATTTTCATCTAGTGATACAAAATAAGTTAAATAAAGAGATGAATTTAGTCCACTAAATGGAAAACCAATCTATTGTGAAATCTCTAGATTTCAAATTTATAACAAGTGAACAGTAGCATTTTCTCTTATTTTTATCAAGTTACAAATAAATCAACATAATGTTAGATCTCACATGAAAATGGTGAGAATGGTTTGAATGGGTGTCATAGAACTGTCTTATAATTTCATAAATATTCTAAGGCATCAAATATATTTTATATTGGTCTCCAGGATTCATGGGTTATTTATACTTTAAATTGATACATAATCATTAAACAATTAAAATGCATATGCACAAAGTTATTCATTACTATATTATTTGTAAATGCAAAATATTCAACACCATCTAAATGTTCAAGCATAGGAAAATGGTGGCATAAACTCATAAATACTCTATAAATTATGATAGTCTAAAATATGTTATATAATATAGAACAAACCTCTGTACATATCCTGTAAAAATAATAAAAAGACTTCTATAAACTGACATGGAGGGGCACTATTGTGAAGATGGCAGACTAGAGACACCACCAGCCAGAGCATCTCTGCAAGAAGAAAAAGTTTTAAATGAAAGAAAAAAACCAGAAAGACAAATATAGATTGGATGAGTGTCTGAAGGAAGGGTGTCTGAACCTATAAGGAGACTCCACAGGAAGAGGTTGTGGAGCTGCACTGGAAGGAGAAAGGAATCAGCAGGGATTATGCCCCAAGAGGCTTAGCTACTACTCAGAAGGGTGGCTAGAGCAGTTAATTTCTCCCTCCCTTGAACCTCTGACTGTTGGTGGGCTCCAGAACTGCCGGAGAGACTTCATGTCCACACGAGGCCAGAGACTCCCTTGTGGACGGGGCAACATGCTTCCAGTGCCCCCAGGGCACCTTCCACCCCAAACAGGACAGCAGGTGCCGTATTGTTTCTCTACCCACCCAGTGCCTTTGTCCTCCCCAGGGGGCTTCACCCCCACACAGACATTTCCCAACTCTGGCCCAGACTGCAGGAGCCACAGGAGTCCAGTGGATCCCAAATGATCTGCATGACTCCAGAGCCCAGGCATTTTGGGAAGACTGCCTCGCAGAGAGACAGTTGGAGATGACCAGAGTGTAGACTCTCCTCCACCTATACTTTTTCCTCCCTTTCCCCTCCCCCACCCACAGATTCCCAGAGAGACAACTGAACCACCACACGGAGGCTGCCACAGGAAACAGGGCTCAAACCTTTCCTTTTAGAGTCCTGCAAAGGACTGAGAAGGTGCTTGGACTGTGAGTTAACTGTCGTTCAGCCATCCCCAGTGCTGCTTGCCTGGTGACTCCAGCAGTGTGGGGTACACCCCACAGCAGGGGGACATCAAACCAGCTTGGGCACCCCATGGGTGACTTGAGACTAGCATTCTCCTCCTTGCCACAGCAGAAATAGATCTCTGGGGCACCAGGGACGAGCCCACAAACCAGATCCCATACATCAAGGTCTTGATCACATTGCCTGGGGGAACAGCGAGGATATTAGTGAATTAGTCCTGTGAAGTGTGAGTGCCTTCAAGGGCAGATGAGAGGGGAAAGTGTAGTATAGGTCCTAGCTGCAGCATGCTCATCACAGTTGTGGGGGTGCTCAGCTGGCTTGAAGTTCTGCCTGCCAGCAGAGGCCCAGGAGAAACTGAGGAATACAGGAGGGTAGAAAGGCAATGAGGCCTGCCCCATACTGCCAGATTCAGGATCTCAGACAGCCCTGCCTCCACATGCAGACTTTCTGGTTGAGTGGGGCCTTTTCAGCACTTACCTGGCAGCTTTGCCCAGAGGCATGAAGCAGAACTTTGGCGCCTGTGAAAAGCATTTATGGAGTTTGAGGGCAGGCTCACCAAACCCAGCCTTTCCCAGTCTCACTCCCTTACCTGCGCCTGCTGAGGTGGAGAATAAGAACACACCTGGAAGCTCTATGGCCCCACCTACCACCTAGGGCATTAGAGTGCTTCTCCTGAGGAACTAGAACTGGTTGCAGGACCCAAAAACAACATTGCAGGTTGTTCCTTCTGGCAAATGCCACCTAACAATAAGGAGGTAAATTTGCACGCCCCTTTACTGCATTTACTGACGCATCATACAGGGTATGGTTGATTCTCACCCATAAGTACCATCTACTGGCTCAGAGATTAAAGTGGGCATGTCATTATCTAAACAAAAGAAAATCCCAAAGTAACAAGAAATAGCTGCTCTGGATGACAAGGAATCAGTGAAAGAATTCTGGAAGTATGAAGAATCAAAGCAAAAGGACACCCCCAAAGTGGAACACCAGCTTTCTGGCAATGGACACCAACAAAAATCATAATATTAAAATGACAGATGAATAATTTTGTAAGGAAGCTCAATGAAATGCAAGGTAAAGTGGCAATCCAACACCAAATTACCACAAAAACAATGCAAAAAATGAATGAAAAATACACTAAATAAATTGAAACACTAAAGAAAAATCAAACAGAACTAATAGAAATGAAAAAATCCATTCAAGGAATTATGAAACACAGTAGAAAGCCTTGAGAATAGGTCAGATCAGGCAATCTCTGAGCTTGAAGATACCACCTTTCAATTAAACAAGTCAGTCACAGACATGGAACAGAGAAATAAGAGGAAGGAGAAAAGCCTACAAGAAAATATGAGATTATGCAAAGAAGCCTAATGTAAGAATCACAGGCATCTCTGAGGATGAAGAAGAAAATACACAAGGGTTGGAAAACCTACTTGAGGGAATAATCAAGGAAAATTTCCCTGGCCTTGCTAGAAATCTAGATATCCAGATGGAAGTTCAAAGGACTCCTGGGAGATTCAACCCAAACAGACAAACACCATGACTGTGGGTGTTTGTCATCAGACTGCCCAAAATAAACATGAAAGAGGTGCTCCTACAAGCCATGAAGTGAAAGCAGCAGATAATTTATAAAGGAAAACCCACATCAGACTAATTGAAGACTTCTCAACTGAGACCTTATAAGCCAGAAGGGATTGAGGCTCCATTCTCAGTCTTCTTGGACAGAATACCAGCCAGCCTAGAATTTTGTATCCTGAAAAATAAAGTTTCCTGTATGAAGGATAAATAAAGACCTCAGACAAGCAAACACTGAGGGAATTCATCAAGACAAGAAATGCCCTGCAGGAAGTACTCAGAATTGCATTATACATGGATCACCATAAAAGATACCCACCACTGTAAAATCACCCAAAGGCTAAAGGTCAAAGGCCAAATACCACAATGGCTCAAGAGATAAAACAAAGCAACACAGTTCAACTCAACTGGAGGAACCTGTTGAGTTCATCCTGTTTAACTCAATCCACCCCACTAATCAATTATTTCAATAAATGTGAAATGGCTTGATTGCCCACTCAAGAGACATAGGATGGCTGAATAGATAAATATAGACAGCCAATTATTTTCTATCTTTAGAAAACACGTCTAACACACAAGGATGCATTCAGATTCAAGGTGAAGGGATGGAAAACAGTATTCCATGCAAATGGAAACCAAAAGAAAGCTGGTGTAGCAGTTCTCATGTCAGATAACATAATCTTCAAATTAACAGAAGTAATGAAGGAAAAAGATGGTCTGTTGGGGGCTAATTCTGGCATTATGCCTTATACTAATCATTCACTACAGCCTGTGACGTCCGTGTGCTGTCTGATACAGCGGTAGTCAGCATTTTCTTCAGACACAGTTGCTGCCTTGTGACTTGATAAGAGGCCTGAGTTGTTGCACATAAGTAAATGCTCCCAACTCCCACACGGAGGCCCCCGTGGTGGGAGTCTGGAGGCCATGAGAACAAGAACAAGAAGAACTCTCCCAAGAACTGGCCCCCGACTGATGGTTGGTAGTCAATGACAGGTAAAACTCCCCATGGAGGGGGGCGACCTAAGACAGACACAACCGTGGGGGCCAGGGAGGAGCTGCCACCTGGGATTGAGACCAAGAAGCACTTCACATGGCTGCATTGTTTTATGTTGCCTATCTCGGCCTTGGCTTTTGGGCTCTGTCCGGCACCTTAACTTTAGTAACTGTTTTGAGGTCTGATACCATGGGAAATCGTTCCCTTTTGAAACAACTCCGGAATTGACTGATAACGCTGCTATGCTCAGATGCTCAAGTACAAGGAACTAACCTTGGGTCTGGGGGCTATAAAAATAAAGCGACCAGTGCATTGCTCACTCGAGTCATTGTCATGTCCATGTGTGTCTGTGTCGTTATTTTATATTCTATGTTTATCTCCCATCCTGTAATCAGGCCACATCAATGGTTAATAAATTAATTAATGGTAACAAGAACAATTCGACAAGAAAACATAATAATTCTAAATATTTATGCACCTAACACAGGTGTACCCAGATTGAAAAATCAAATCCTACTTGATCTAAACAAAATGATAAACAGCAGCACAGTAATAGCTGGGTACTTCAACACCCCTCTGACAGAACAGGACAAATACTCCAAGAGAAAATAAACAAAGAAACAATGGACTTAAACAGAACTCTAGAACCAATGGGCCTCACAGACATTTACAGAATTTTCTACCCAAAACCACTGAATATATGTTCTTCTCATCAGCTCATGGGACATTCTCTAAGACTGACCATATCCTAGGTCACAAAACATGTCTCAATGAATTAAAAAAAACAATAATTATACTATGCACCTTATGAGACTATAGTGGAAGGAAATTAGAAATCAACTCCAACAGAAACACTCATCTCTACACAAAGTTGTGGAAACTAAACAACCTACTGATGAATGATACTCAGGTCAATGAGGAAATTGAGATGGAAATCAAAAGATTCTTTGAACTAAATGATAAAGGGGACACAGCTACCAAAATCTGTGGGATACAGCTAAAGCATTTCTGAGAGGAAAATTCATGGCCATAAATGCCTACATACAAAGGACAAAAACATTACAAGTAAGCAATCTAATGAATAATCTCAAAGAACTGAAAAAGGATGAGGAAACCAACCCCAAACACAGCAGATGAAAAGAAATAACCAAGATCAGAGCAGAACTAAATCAAATCGAGAACAAAAGAATTATACAGAAGATTAATGAAATGAAAAGTTGGTTCTTTGAAAAGATAAAATTCACATGCCTCTTACTAGATTAATCAAAAGCAGAAAAGAAAGGACTCTAATACCCTCACTCCAGAATGAAAAAAGGAGAAATTATGACTAATACCATGAAAATATAAAATATCTTCTCTGAATACCATAAAAATTTCTATGGACATAAACTTGAAAACATGGAGGAAATGGACAAATTCATAGACACACAGCCTCGCTAGGCTCAATCAGGAAGAAATAGAATCTCTAAACAGACCAATATCAAATATTGAAATTAAAGAAGCAATTTAAAAACTTACTAAAAAAGAGTCCTGGACCAGATACTCTCACACCTGAATTTTACCAGACATAAAGAGAAGAACTTCTGCCTATCCTGCAGAAATTATTCCACAACACTGAGAAGGAAGTAATCCTCCCAAATGCCTTTTACAAAGCCAACATCACTCTGACACTAAAGCCAGGAAAGGTCTCAACAAAAAAGGAAAACTACAGACTGATATCCCTTATGAATATACATGCATAAATTCCCAATAAAATACTAGTAAACTGAATTCAGAGGCTCATCAAAAAATTAATCCGACAATGAATCAGATGGAGAAGAAAAAATAACAGCACAAAACTGCAGCTTCAAAAATAAATGACAAGGATTGGATCAAGATGGCGGACAAGAAACAGACACTCTGCCAGACAGAGTGTCTCTGCAGAAAAGAAAAATTCTAGCAGAAATTAGCAGAAAAAAGAAGCAAGAAGATGAGCATACAGTGGACGAGGGAGGAAGGAGGGGTACCTGAGACCAAAAGAGAGGCCATGGGAGAAGGCTGCGGAGGAGAACTGGAAGCTGAGACTGCCGCAGCAGCCCGGAGACCAGCAGTAAAGGGAGGTGGAGCGGTTATCTTCCCCTTCCCCTGTATCTAGGACTGCTGGTGGGCTCCCCAGCGGGTGGACAGACCTGCGGACACAAGCCCAGAGACAGCCACCGCCAGCAAGCGGTAAGCCTGTAGCTGCCGCAGCACCAGGCTCCCAAATCCCTCGGGGCACCTCCGTGTGCACAGACCCGAGCCGCGCAGCAGGCGCCATATTGTCTCCTTCTCCCCTCCACCTACCCTACCTGTGGCTGCCCAGAGAGACAATATAGCCACCAGCCAGAGGCACCTCCCGGGAATGGGACCTTCCCTTTTGGGACGCTACAGCTATAAGGGTAACTCAGACTGCATATGAAGAAATGCTCAACATCTCTAATCATCAGGGAAATGCAAATCAAAACCACAATGAGATATCACTTAACCCCAGTGAGAATGGCCTTTATCAAAAAATCTCCAAACAATAAATGCTGGCGTGGATGCGGAGAGAGAGGAACACTCCTACACTGCTGGTGGGACTGCAAACTAGTTCAAC